CCAATAATCTAATAAAATCTTACATGACGAATAGAACACAATATACAGAGCTCAGAAAAAAATAACTTTGTAAACAAAAGATAAGTAGTGTGTACTCGTATACACGTCTCACTTACGAACAATTTACTATGGAGTGGGGCAAGGTAGCGTACTCGGACCGTTACTGTGCATTCTATACATCAATGCTCTACCCAAAAATCACCCTTACTATGAAACGGACATTAACAATACGCTCTATAACATGGATGGATAAAAATAATTTAATAAATAATTTAGGTAAAACATATTTAATACAGCTGCTACGGTTATACGCAATAGAAGAACCCACACCAGTCATCTTTAATAGATACCCGATCACATTAGAAATCTAGACATAATTCTATTTAAAAAACATCTACAGGAATGCCTAATTGAAAAATGTTATTGATGTGAGAGAATTTTTGGATGGTCAATAGGAATAATTAATTAAGTAACTGACAGGAATTTATATTATTACATATTTATTACATAATTTTATGATATTTTTATTAGCGAATACTATTTTTATTTTTTATCTTTTATTTGACATGGTCTTTGCTCTATTGACGTCTTAGTTCTAAAATTTTATACATAATTTATAAGATTAGGACATTGATTTTGCATGTTCTAAATTCTAAGGTATGAAAAATAAGAGCGAAATTTTATATTCACGAAATATTTTTTAAATTATTGTAAGCCTAAATGGCAGAGCATAGTTGATCATTCCAATACTGAAAACATCCTTTGTTCAAAATAAAAATTGATAGATTGATTGATATACAAATAAAACTATTAGCATAAAACGGTAAAATTCTCTTTTATTTAATAAATGGAAACCTTCTATAGTAAGTAGAAATGTTTTTAATTAAGTTATGGTAATTGAATATTGAAATACACAAGACTATTGTACTAGACTGCACGAATGGCGTAGTGGTATAAGCTGTCACCTCGCCGCTTACTACTACGCTCAGTTACAATCTCGATAGGCGCAACTCAACGATCGGTCCACAAAACATGCATTCTTTAGCCTCGTATCCTATAATAGGTAGGACCTGGCATTCTTATTTTTGAACTAGATTTATCTTTAATACAAAAATAATCAGATTTATTTTGTAACTAGCTGCCACCCGCGACTTCGTTCGCGATTTAATAGCAATTGCTTTAAAACCTTGAAGGTTACCTTCTCCAGGATGTATTACATGGAAAGAGGTAAGTACCCGCTGAATGAAGCAATCATCATTTTATTGGTATCAACTGATAAGAGATTTTAATTAACTTTCCTATATCTTGGTACTGATTACTCACAGGGTAAAATTGAAAAAATAAACACGGGCCTACGAAAAAAAAATTGTTGCTATGCTATACTATGGTAATAAAATTAATATTATTATTTCATAATGGATAGTAAGTTAAGAGATTAATCCAAAATTGAATTTTACAAAATCGGCACGGCGACGACTCGGTCGGGATCACGAGCTCACAACAGCTTAAAATCTTCTGTGAATTCAATTTCTGAAGAAAAACTTTTATGTAGTGTGGTGATGCAAGTGGCTTAATGACTTTCACGGGCTTTCGACATGTTGGCTTGTTTTTTACGACTTCACATGACAAATCTTTGAAATTCTCGGGTTTCCTCTGTTATAATATACATTTATTATACATACAAACCCGCCTCTTCAAAGATTTTGTCTATTGGTTAAAACCGCATTAAAACGTAGCATAGTCTGAAAGATCTTAGCGTACAAGGAAAAAAGCGACTTCATATTTATACTATGTAAAGAATTACGTGTATTAAAGTTTTAGTGAAATAATGATTAAAGTCCGAATTCTGGCAAATTACATTTTTGTCTCAAATATCAGTTGAAATTAGTAACTGGTAAGGTCAAAGCAATACAAATGTAGCGGACGAAAATCTATACATGATTTATTCGAAACACGAGTAAACATAACTTGGATGACTTGAAGGGAAGCTGGGTGTGACCGTCAAACTTAATAACTGAAGCCCGGATACTTCTTGCTCAAATGAAATAAAAGTTTGTTTAAAATTATAACTCTATTCGATGATAAAGTAAAATACGATATTATTTTTATAGTTCCCAGGTTCTTGTGCTATTATCATATGTGCATTCACATCAGTCTGTCTATCCTCGACCCATGGTTACAAGTCAAGGTAATGTAAAGCGTTTTAACTACATTGGTAGGCTTTCAAATAACAGTGCCGAAGTCCATATCTATTAAGGTCAAACAAAAACAATAGTAATAAATACAAAACTTCACGAATCCCGGCACACGGCTGTCTGATCCCAATCTAGACAGAGCCTGTGCTATGGTAACTAGACTGCTGATAAAAATACTTATATATTTCTAAATACATACATATTATAGATAAATTACACAGAGACACAGATCAAATAATCATTCTTCAGGATTAAAAAAGTAAAGGCAGTAGGAATATATCATGGACTTTACAAACATACATGAAACGGATACAAAAAACATCAAGACTCAGAACAACAGTTTATGGTTCACACAAAGTGTTCTCCCGTGTGGGGATCGGACCCACAACACTCAGCGCAGTAGGAAGCGGCGAGGTGGCCGCTTAAACTACGACGTCATCTGTGCAGTCTCATCACACAATTATATTCCCGAGGTGGGAAAAGAAACCCCTACGTCTTGCTTAGCGGTCAGGGTCACTAACCACTAGAGCAATACGCGAGTCATATCTACTGACCTGAGTTATATCTACTGACTTTTTTTTTAATAAGAAAATTCTAATATAATTTAAAGAGGTTTCCCTAAAAAGAGAAATAATTATACATATAAATGTTAAAGAAGCTAAGCTTAGCTAAGACTGCAAGCTGCCTAATAACATAGGTGATTTCGGGCGGAATTCAATTGCATTTTTTTAGAACTAACTTATTGTATAATGCTAATTACAGTTGCAACTTTTGAATGCCTGGTATAGAGATCTAATCATACACGTCAATACAAAGTAACACTCACTCAAACCAGCTCTGGTTATATCAGTAGCCCAGTTCTAGTCTATTAACTCATTACTATTTGTACGGTAGGACGCGAGAATAAAGAAAATTATGCAGATGTTCATTGCGCCGCACCCGAGTTATTAAACTTTAATTCACGCTTATTAAAAGAGTTAGAGAGATATTAAATGAGTGTTTGCTATGTCACTTATTTGTTTATCATTTAATTAAGTTCATCAAGGGTAACAATCAGGTTTTACTGTCAAGTACAAAAAGTCAAAATAGGAATCAATTTAATAATTTAATTTAATAAAGATTAAGATTTGAATTAGAAATTTTGCGCACATTTAATCGTGGAACAGTTATTTATATACATATTATGTTATGTGGTATTCTACGCCTCTGGCAACGTATTTACAAGCAAGAATTCATGACCATCAACTGATGTATAATTTGTATGTATTAAGAGAATATTTAACTAAATATAAAACGTGAGAAGCGGAACAAATACACTCATATTGATAGATATAAAAAAACAGATGATGACGATTTTTTATTAACATCCTATATCAGTCCACTGCTGAACATAGGCCTCTCATTAGTAACAAGGTTTTGGGTTACTGAACTATGTTGGCTAGACGGGTTCGTATAGGGTTTGTTTTAAGTTGGCCTTCTTTTTGCAGTGCTGTTATCTTACGTACCTAGTTTGTTCCCTTAGTCGGCTCTTACAACACCCACGGAATTGAGAGGGGTGGTGACGCTCCATCTGTCACCCTAGCAGAAGCAGGCCGGGGTGGTACCGAGACGCGCTGAGGGACGCCGTAGGTGGCCCGAGGTACGTCGGGGTACCAGGGATTTCATTTCCAGGGTACACCCGGTTCCCGGGCAACTGGTACCCAAGACGGTATGTGGTTTTTGGTCGGTTCGAGTCCGACATAACCATCCGACCAATGGGTGGTATCCGAGGGGATCTCCGCACAGGAAAAAAAAGGGGTGGTGACGCTTCTTCTTCTTAATCCGTCCCCACACGGACAGATGAAAAATTTAAGCGATGCCAATAAATAGCCTAACTGAGTTACTAAAATGTTTTACTTGTTCTAGTTATGTGTGAAAGTATTCTCTACATTTTCAGATCTGATATAATATCAGATCGGATCAGAAATGGAATAGGATTATATTTTGTGTTTAGTAATTCTAAGAATAATAGAGAATATTACGTTGCCTATTTCAAGTTTGGAGAAGCAACTACAAAGTGCAAGTGTTGGACGCGCCGTATTGGGACCGTGGTTACAAGTATCGTCGTACCGGTCACCCACGACCACCCCTACACTGGCGTCAGTGATTGAACAGTTTAAGAGTATAACTAATCAACACTATATCTGTAAAGTCAAATTACTTATTTTTTAATCAATTTTTGATCTCTTATTGTGTATTTTTGACGTTCAGTGTATGGAGGTTGATCAATTACATAGTTTGATAGTTAGAAGCATACTTCTTGTCAACACGTTTCAATGCTTTAAAATGCATACATTAAGGCAATTTTAATATGTAACTGGAAACCTATGACACATTACTGAAGATAACATTGAATTTCCACAATGCTGATTGACCACTTTCTACCACATATGCAAATGCGAATACATAATATATTATTAAAAAAATGTAGCTATGTACGCGTTTGATAATTAACTTACTTATATTACCACCAAACTAATGGCTAAACTACTTAAATTTTCTAAAGTATCTGTTAATGTATAAAATTACACATCATAGTGAAAAAGTAATTTGAGTCACGGGTTTGTGTCTTTATTAAACGCATTTTAATATTAATTTAATGACTATTAATAAGGTATACGTGACCAAATTTATGAAGGAATTATGTTTATTAATATTATAATAAAACGTAGAAGTATGAATTAGTTTTATAGACGGTCGCTCAAATTATATCTATTATAAAAAAATCTTAAATTAATATTAGATACTAAAGTTATTTGCACTTACTTCTAGACGTCAATCCCACTGATACCGTGTAGGTTATCTTATTAAATTCGACGTCCACAGGGTTCGGTTGCGGCATGTTCACCTGCAGTGTCCTGCAGTCCTGATGTTCTTTACCGCTCACCTTTTGTCCCAAACCCTGCAGCATAGCCATTGCCTTCGCCATGTTTATTTTTTTTTCAATTTTATTTTTCACAAAAAGTTTACACCACCATCGGTTAATTTTTAAAATTAACCTAAAATGCACAAATAAATTTCAGATTTTAGACGAAGTTCTATTTTCAAATTCAATTTGTTAGTTCGATTTTTTTATTTAAAAAATTTTGAGCATAAATATCGAATTCAACACTGCTTATGTCACATAGACTACTGTTATAGTTCTCGCGTCCGGCGCAATGTGCGGAAGAGCGCGAGGTCGTCAACAGACTGCCATTGCGCGGGTGTTTCATGTTAGTTTCATTCTAACAGTTTCTGCATATTTGTTAATAAGGATGATTATTGTGTAGACGTTATTTAATACTTAATCAGTCTTTTTTAGATATTAATTAGTTTCAGTACTAACTGAAGTATTGGAGTATTGCTTGCTTGTATTACAATACGGTAGACATAAATATTGTAATCGGATATATTGGAAATAACAGCTGCTGTTGACTGCCTTGGAGACTATCACACAATATGTATTATTGAACATGAATATCGTTATTGTAATCGTCGTTATCGTGTATCGTTGTTAGCTACTTAACGATTTCACAACTGATGTAATCTCATTAAGCGTCTAACAACACTATGAAAATATTATTAGCAATTATGTATAAAATTATAGAATTGTCACTGAAACTGTACACTCCCGACTCCCGAAGGCCAACTTACCTACTGAATGATTACCATAAAATCAATGTAACACTCGCAATTCATGTTTTTTCTAGTTATTGAAAATCGTTCGATTCTTGTTGTTCAAATTCAAATGCAATTATTTTGAAATAACAAATAGGTACGGTATAGGCAACTGAGTACTACTTTGTTACTGCGCCGGTTCATGGTCCTAACTATTGTCTCCATTTTGTGCACCTATTTCTTATTTTCTAAATAACATAATATTCGTTTGTTAGTTTGTTTAGCTTTAATTACTTAAGCGATCATCATGGAAATTTGTAAACAGCTTACATCGTGTTTGCAAATTTATTTTTTATTATTATTTAAATAAGCAAATGAAAAAAATTGTCAACATATGATGTGAGATAAGACATGGTTTGTTATTGTGTGAACATGTAATTAGCACAAGAATAATATTGCAAGGACATTTCTGAATCATAAAGGCACAAGGATTAAAAAAACTGGTAAATTATTAATAAGGTTTTGTAAATTATAACTCAGGATAAATGAAAAGAGTGCCGAGTCTTCGAATAGCCCGGTACATCTCTTTTTTATTAACGATGTCAAGACATGACAAGAAATTATAAGATAAAATTATTACAAATAAGAATCGTAAGAAATACATAAGTGTTCAAGAGTCTCAGGTAGGTACTTGACCTTAAGCAGGGTTTTGATACGTCTTCGATTTCTATATTCCGTGATAAACTTAGAATTATAAAGAACAGGTTTCTGTCTCTCAAATGACAAACAGTCCAATAGTACTGATACTATTATTTCTTCTGTGCTAATAGGAAGATTACTGTGACTGACTGTTATTTTTGTTAACTTATGTAATAGTGCAAGATGAAGCTATGGAGTTCCTCAAGGCATTGTAGTAGTTTTGAAACCTGTCCAGACTAGATTTTGTACTTTTTGATTACATAGTGACACATTAATCTTTGACACAAAATTTAACGGAAATTATTCAACAACTTTAAATTGCCTTGCGTTTCGACCCAATTATATTGACTTATCTGGCTCTAATCCGAAGCAAACTGGATCAGTAGTTCACTCCCTCCGCCGTAGAGTTCGATGTATTCATGTTCTGGTGTTTTTTCAATTCCTTCAGCTTTCTTTCTCTCTTATTTTTATCTAACTTTCACAACTATGTCCTCAACTGCAGATAATTTAAAAACATCTTCGCCATTGAAAGGTTTATGTTCGTTAATTGTGCTTCACTTACAACCCTCGAATAGATGTGACGTTCGGCGTGGGGGTCTTTGCGAATTGTGAAAACTATGATTTGCAACCGCTTCGAGCTCATTAGTTAAAGTACCTTCTAACTTTCAGACTTGATGACGGAGGGCATGCACTATTGCGTTATTGTGTAATACTCCTAATACGAATTGCTCATGCTATGGAGCACGACGGTTTAAAAGTTGGCATAGTCGTTGCTTGCAGGGACAGAAAGCGCGAAGTATATTTTAATATGTTTGAAAATTTGTTTTTTGCTTAAGAAAATTTACAAGCTTTACCTAATAAATTTTATACCACTTAAGATTCACACATCAGATTAATTGTCAAGTTATACAAATTCTCAAAATAGCGTTTGATCTCTTAGCTCTACGAAACTGTCCGTCCGTTGTAGCTCTGTAATAGATTATCGCAAACAGAGAAGAGTTAAAGGTTAAGTGTCAGCTAGGCTAATAGTTATCTTATTCTCGTTCCTCATTATGAACTGTCCTGAGATAATTATTATCATTGGCTAATCGCTTTGCTGCATATCGTGAACGTGTTAAAAAGTTAATAATGGGTCCTGGTTCTTAACATTATATAACTTTATGTCATACCGGAACTTAACGTTAAAAGTTCAACTCCTAGAACAGTAATGATGAAAAATGTGGTTTTCTGAAGTGAAAACTTCTTTAGGCGCCTTGGGTATTTTTGAACAACAAACAAAAGAATGTATTTTTTTGAGATAGGAAAAAACCATTGAACTCGCGACACTGTTACCGTTACCAACACCTCTGTATATTATTATCTACCTATATTGGCCCCGTTTACACGAGAGTTGAGTTTGGCTTGAAATACATTGATAATATAACTATATATAATATAAACATATATTGTGTATATATGTACATAGATATATATTCACGTCGGAACTTTTCGAATGGAAAATAACAAAAAAAAACCTGTTGCAATAAAAAAACATGTTTTCACTTCTGCCCTCTGTTACCACAAGTATGGAGTAGGGTAGACATGGACAAAATCACAGTGGACTTTGATTTATCATTAGATTTGTACGTTCGTAGGTTTGGATTGCTAGGTAGGTACGTTAGAGGAGACGGCGGAGCGGGACCGGGAGAGGTTTAGAACTCTCCCGCCCCGCCAGGCCCGGGAACGGGCCAGGTACCGCAGGCGACTCAGGCGCCGGAGGTCGCAGAACGACTTCCGTCCTCCATAAGCGCAGATATCCGAGGGGATTTCATCACGAAAAAAAAAAGGTAGGTACGTTAGACGCTATTTAAGAGTAAATCTAGCATTTTTTTAATTATAATGTAGGGAATAGTATCTATTAAATAATAATTCCTAGATTTACTGTTAAATAGGCGAAATAGGGTTTTAATGCATCGTCTGAAAACAGCTTATTGGCAACAACGCGTGAGTAAGTAGTAACTCTAACCTACGTACAAAAAAATCGAATGATAAATCACCGGTCTTTCACAGTTTACTGTGATTTTGTCCCACGCCTAGAGGAGGGAGATTTTAGGCTCCGGTAACCTCACTCACTCGGTGAAAAGCCATGCTGAACATAGGGTTTAGTGCAAGTTTATTTTACATCAACTCACTCTCGACAGCGAGCGCGTTCGGCGTTGCGGTTGTGGAAAATCTAGTGTGGGCTACACTTTCACTTATAGCACCTACTTATGTCTAAGTGGGTAAGTTTCTGTAAGTGATACTAATGTTTAAATATAATAAATGTGTGTTCATTTGTAAGTTACTAAAACAAACAAAATATAATAAAATAAGTACCTTCTTTTTAAACGTCAAAATAAAAATATAAACAAAGTAGATAGCTACAATATAATATTATTTTGTTTATTTTGGCTTGTTCATCGAGCAGTGATATAGTTTTTATTTGGTAAAATTGCTGACATAAAAATATACAATAATAAGATGTTAATAAAACCATGCGGTCTGATTATAAAACATTTATATGCTGTTATACCAAAGGGGATATCGACGCAGAATCGTATTAAACACCCAGGTTTAGGCTACAAGAAGTTGGTCTATTAGGAAAGGAGGGGGAAATAGGAGGGGGAATTAAGAAATAGGAGGGAAGCCTATTACTGTCAACAGGGTATTTAAGTAGAAAATAAAAATATTAAGAGCTTAACTAATTAGGCCTACTAACATTGTTAATTCAAAAGTAACTCTGCCCGTCTGTCTGTTACGCTTTCACGGCTAAACTACTAAACCAATTTTAATGCAATTTGGCATGGAGATACTTTGATTCTTGAGGAAGGATATAGGCTACTTTTTAACGCGATAATCGGTATACATATGGGCGGAGCCACGGGCAAAACAAACAAATTATAATATACAAATAATAAGTCATTTATACCATGAGAATCAATACTCCATACTCAATACTTTATTGTTTCCATAATGTGAATACATAGGTGACAACAATTCAAGCGGCAACAATTATGTATATATATATGAGACAACGCAGTTACACAACAACAATCAGCAAATACATACTTCGATGTTGGCACAGAAAATGACGTCGTAAACTAAATTATGTAAATTTGGAGGACGAAATTAAGATTTATCGAAGTAGCTCTGACTTTAAAATCTATTGAATCTACCATCGATCTAAAAAATGAGTCTAGGACACAGACTCATTTGTAATGAATGCACCTAATAAATATATATTATGTGTTAACACGGAAATAATACACCTAACGCCATTTAGGGAGGGAGAGAGACGCTTTGAACTATTCAAATCCCTATTTATACATACATTTATATAAATATGTAGCCTATAGACATAAAAAACTTATCACCCATCAACTTATTTACATTTATGAAATATTTAATTACATCAAAATAATTATTGTAATGCATACAAACCACATCTTAACTACAAAAATTAAACAGGTACTAAAAATAACCCGAAAATATGCATTGATACTTTATTATATTTTTTCTTGAATGCGCGACAAAAAAGCTATGCACGGAACGAAAATAATTTTATTTTCAAATCAAACATTCTGATTGCAAACTATGCAGGACAACAGCACTGCA